GCTGCTACAAAGTCTCCACGCAACTTTCTCTTCTCCAGGCTGACCAGCCCCAACTCCCTCAGCCTGTCTTCCCAGGGGAGATGCTCCAGTCCTCTTAGCAACTTCATGGCCTCCTCTGGACTTGCTCCAACAGTTCCATGTCCTTCTTACGTTGAGGGCACCAGAACTGCACACAGTACTCCAGGTGGGGTAATTTCAGAAGTGTTTGATACACACTTGATGCCAAGAAAACCTGGAAAAGAACTACTCAGAGACTTGTATCTCTGAGTAGCAGGTATTTGTTTATTCAGCACCAGGCACAAGTGGGATCATTCCACCAAACTTGTGCACCGAAGATAACACTTTTCTGGTTTATATACATTAAAAACTCATACATATTCATTATTTCCAGGAATAGGTGGTCATTATTACAGTTAGTTCTTGGAAATCATTATCACAATCTCCTGCTTCATCTCCTCCCACTTGGCGTCAGTCCGATGGTCTGTGGTGGTCATCCCAGGGTCATCAGGAGGAAGGCTGATAGTCTTCATCAGATTGAACTTTTCACCTTTGATTTTGGTGCATGCTCTTTGGTCTTGCTCTTCTGCTGCCAGGTCCCGAGTCCAGTTGCATCTAATTTTACTTCCTCATAAATACATTGTGTTTACACTACCTAAGCTAAAATAATGCCCTAAGTTCTACACTTTTCATACTCAATAAACTAAAACTGCCTTATTGCTCAAGCTTTTACCTTCTGTTTATTCAAGTGCTCTCCACTGGACTATATTCTATTCTACTCTCAGCCTTAACTATTCGATTCCCGTTATCACACTGACCCACTTCTTAATATTTTGCTATTTATACAACAAAATAGGTTCATTGAACTGTGCTTGTTCATACATTTACTTGTGAAGCTTTGTCAATCTAAAGCACCTTTCATGGAGTTAGCTCCAATTTTTGATGTAAGCATAGATTATGCTAGTGCTATGAGGAGAGGCTGAGGGAGCTGGGGTTGTTTTGCCTGGAGAAGGGGAGGCTCAGGGGTGACCTTATCACCCTCTACAACTCCCTGAAAGGAGGCTGTAGTCAGGTGGGGGTTGGTCGCTTCTCCCAAGCAACCAGCAGTAGGACAAGAGGGTACAGACTCATTCTATGATTCTGCCAGGGGAGGTTTAGGTTGGATATTAGGAAGAGATTTTTTATGGAGACAGTAGTCAGGCATCGGAATGGGCTGCCCGGGGAGGTGGTGGATTCACCATCCCTGGAGGTTTTCAAGATGAGACTGGATGTGGCACTTAGTGCCATGGTCTAGTAACCACGGTAGGGTTGGACTCGATCTTTGAGGTCTCTTCCAACCCAGTTGATTCTATGATTACCAAACACCCAGGAGTCAAAAAAATGCTATGTGTGCTTTCACCTGTGTGCCACCCTGTACAGTGGCTCTCCCTCTGGCATTTTTAAAGGGATTATCACAGTTGAGGCAGTTATATACAATGCTGTGCTCCTGCCATGCCATTTTTGGGCTCATTGGTAGGTAGCTGGTCGCCGTTGCAGCCTCCTGGAAGGGAAAAGACTTAGAGCTGAGACCTGTCACATAGGAGGTGGAATCACAGAATGGTTTGGGGTGGAAGGGACTTTAAAGACCTTCCAGTCCCATGCCCCTGCCATGGGCAGGGGACATGTTCTGCTAGACCAGGTTGCTCCAAGTCCCATCCAACCTGGCCTTGAATGCTCCCAGGGATGGGGCACCCACAGCTTCTCTGGGCAACCTGTGCCAGTGCCTCACAACCCTCACAGTAAAGATTTTCTTCCTAATACCTAATCTAACCCTGCCCTTTGTCAGTGTAAAACTACCCCCCCGTCCTGTCCCTACATGCCCTTGTAAATAGATTAAGAAGTAATATCATCACTGGTATCTCCATGAATACACCATTGAAACAACTACAGAATTTACACCAATTAAGCAAATATTATTTTGCGTAACAACTCTCAGTACATAAGAGGAAGCCAATTTAAAGGAGATTGCAAGCATCACCTACATTCCTTATTCTATGGGCAGGTCCTTCAGAACTTGTTCTAAACTATTATCTTTTTAGTAACTTGGAATAGTGTTCATGAACTCATATTTTAAATCGTAATTTGTAAGTTCATTTGAGGGGGAGAAGGCATTGTAGTCAGAGACAGGTACTATAATAAATACAGACAAATACATTTGGCCCAATCATTTATAATGTGTTTTCAAAAAAAAACCCAACCCAACCACTGGAAAAAACCAAACCTCAAACTTTTAGGTGGGGGGAAAAAAAAGGAACTGATTGCTTCAGAGCTCTGCCTTAATTTGTGCACACTTCCTGCATCATCACTGAGAAGCAGCCACCATTGAGCCTGCTTCTGGGCAGGAAACTGCTTTTCAGTGGCTTGATGCAAAATAGTTCAGAAGGGGAAATGATACTCTGAAAATAGCCCTTAATTTCAGGAACAATATTAATAAAGCATTACTGAAGTTAAAGTCTGCCTTGGTCCTCAGCATTTATGCTTGTTTGTAGTTTAGTTTGGACAATAAACCAGCAGTGGGATTTTTTTTATTGATGCACTGGCTAATGCCTTAGTTCACTAGCTGTAAACCCTACAGAATAATTTAGAAATTGTGTGATAACATCAGTTATATATTTGCTTATTGGTTTAGAAAGGGAAATTTAAAAAGAAGGGGGGAAAAAAAGACTGAGATAATTCCAATTTTTCAGATTAAAACAGTTTTAGAATTGGCCATTAGAATAGACATGATGTCAGGAAAGTTAATTAAGCCAATGGCTTAGTTACTAATGAAAAAATCTGGATTTACTTCCAAGATTGTATTTGCATAATAATAATGATGATAATAATAATAATAATCCTAGAACCTTTTATTTCAAAGGAGTCCAGGGAAATGCTTGTTTTAGCAAATTATTCCTTGTTTTCAACAACTTGAATGTGCCCAGTTGTCTTAAAATCTCAAAGCAAATTCCTGAGCCAATTTTACTGCTGAAAGTGAAAATATATTTATATACAATACATAAACATGTAATTGGGCCCAATAGCTTTAAATCAGACTTGAGGACCACTGCTTCATTTATTTGGTTGGGGTGTTTTTTAAAACCTGTGCTAGACAGATTTTGGAAAGAAATTAAAAACAGCAGCAACAACTGAGTCCAAGCACAATGGTACAAGCATGGGCCTGTTTGAAATGGCAGCTCAAGGAACACCCTCCCCTTATTTCTGCTCTCACTTGAGACAAATGCCTGTAACAATCAGCATCCTTCCTAGACAAGGACATTTTAAAGTATTATCAACTGCTTCGAAGATTTTTTTTTCCCCTCTAAGAAATGTTAAGAGTATCAAAACTAGTTATAAGCCTAGAACAGGACAATCCTTTCCTTTTTAAAAACCCTCTCCTCTGAAGATCAGGTTATATTTGACAACAGAAGCTTGTAGTCTTCCTGAAGGGGTTAGCTAACTGCAGCATCTCCCTCACAGCACCTAGTCTGCTCTTTCCCCGATACCACTGAGCAATTTGGAACAGCCTTAAGTATCCAAAAGATGTAAGTTCCTTTATTTCAAAAGCAAGGGATAAATGCAAGACAATTGTCTGAAAAGGGAAGAGGATACATGTGCTGAGATTAAACTGGCCAAACCATCCAAGTTGTTTACTGTTCATGTAGCACCTACTCAAATAGGTTTTTTTCTGTTGGTATAATGGATTAGTGTATCCTACCCTAACACTGCTCCAGTGATGCACTGAGGATCAATGAAAGCCCATATGGTGCAAAGAACCATGCAAGAATACCACCACGAGATTGTAAGTTTTTACTTCACCACCAGCTTTCCAACAACAACAGAGAGATAAAAAAGTCACTTTCACAGCACACTGTGAGAATGTCACATGTAGCATCACTATAATCTGCTTGATAAAGAGCGGCATCAGGAACAGCAATCAGTTAAAAAGTTGATTAGAATTTCTTCATTCCAAACCATCCCACCACATCAGTTCATCTCTAAATGTGTTGTTTTGGATTTTATATTTGTAGAAGTTGTTAAAATAAAAAAAAAGACTGATGTTAAGAATAAAAGCATGAAATAGACTTTAGAAACTAAATACTGGTCATCATTATTTCTAAACAAAGTTTTTTTGCTGACAGGTGCAAAAAATCCCCCCAGATTTGTCTATGATTACCTTCAGGGCAAGAATATTTGATGCTCTAAACTGACATTCTAGGTAGAGAGAGGGTTATTATAGAGTTTTATTTTTGGCTTGTGCAGAGTTCTTGGAACCATCTGTATATTAAGAGTGAAGCTAACCGAACTTGTTCTTTGTTACGCACCTTGGATGCTGCCCTCAGGATTTCCTGGCATGTCACCAAGGAAGTTCTCTGCTGGCTGGATTCAAATCTGTTTCTCATGTAATATCCAACTGTATTTACAGAGATAGTTAGAGCCACATTCACTGTACTTCAAATGAAAAGGTCCAGGCTTTTACATATACTAATGCACTAGTTTGCTAAATTAACATTATCATATGATTGCAGCTCATAGTTTGACTTTTCATTTTGCCCTTGCTGGGGATAGATAAAAGGTTCACTGACATTGTGTCCACACACAATTTTTAATTAGTTTTTCAAACAGCAATAGAAAAAAAAAGAGGGGCTCTCCCAATGTGCCTTCCCACTAAATACTTTGAATGATATAGATGTTTCTTTCTTTTTAAAAAAAAAAAACCTAAAACATATAAGCTCTGAATCATGCAAAATATGACCATCTGAGCTACATTAGACTAATGTAACTGGGCAATCCGTGGTCAGACTGTCCAAAGTGGCACTGACAGTTCATTCTCACAGTGACAGCCTGATGTGTGGGACAAGTTTTTAAAAAAAGCAAACCACTGGGGCATCATGGTACACTCGCTGTGTTTTCCATTTTGGTATTCCCAGCCAACCACTCTCCCTTGACATGGGTAGTTGACATTTACTACTGCACCAACATAGTTAGAAGCAGTAAATTTGTGTTTCATTTTGTTAGCAGCTATATATTCAGTGCTATTCATCATATATAGGTGGGTCTCCATCACTTGAAAACGTTGACAGTTTCTTGCCATGATTCTGCACGTGATCTTCATTCATCTTCTCCAAAGCTTCAATCTACAGAACCAAAAATAAAACCATGCTGAAATCCTAAAACCATGCGTGCACCAAAATGCTTCTAAACAGTGTTCAAAAGTAGCTTTACATGACCGAGCAGGTATACACAATATTGCTATTTCAGTGTCTTAGTCACATGTACAAGTGACATGATTTCAAAGTGCAACTTGAAACACCCGTTCTAAACAAGTTACCAAAATGAGCACCATTCCTTTAGAGTTTCAAGCTAAGTAACTGAAATGTACCAGCTGCAGGGAGGACTGGATGATTCTTAAGACTTCAGCTTGTATTCCTCAGAAGTGCCCCTTTCTCCAACTTTGAACACCTCTACTCTAACTCAGCCAATCCGTCAGCACTGGAGAAATTCCAAGTAATACTAAGATTACAAATCCACTGCAATAAGTTTTAGTGGTGAAAGTTGAAGACAGTTATACTTCAATGTTTTGTGCAATCAAAGTAACACAGTACAGCAGCTTATTTTGATCTTCAGATTGTTATGCTTGGCTAACTTGCCGTTCTACTCTACTTATTTGTGACTAAATCTACTCTACTTATTTGTGACTAAATCCAAGTCTGAAGTTTATAAAGGATGAGCTGCTCAAATTCACATCTAAACAGCAACTTAAGTCTCTCCCATAAAACTTATAAGCACAAAAATGACATAAAACAACCACAAAAACACCTCACCCCACTGTTCACACCACAGTCAGCGAGGGAAATGTTTTTTGCTAGATTAACTGATACTTAAGGATCATGGAACTGTGACCTCATGTTCCCTTTATCTCTTCCTTACTCTGAGGACCTTCCCCAGGAGTTACCTAGTTTCAAGCTCCCACCTACTCCATGCTGGACTAGCATAAGCCTACACTGTCATTAGTAATTAGGCAGAGTAGAATTGCCATGTTGCCCTCAGTTTAATTAGTAAATACGGAATGTTTGACAACTTGTTTTCATAAATGCCTGATATCAGGACACACATCTTGAGGTGTTACAAACAAAAGCTGAAAACTAGAAGCCAACAGTGACTAAAGATTCCTAAGTCCATGTTTACATTAGCATTATTTTAGGCTTGAACATTGAAAATGTTAGCCTAAACTTTAAATTCAAGTAACCATGAAAAATAAGCAGTAGAACAATTATTTTTTTTAGCCCAGTTGTCCTTTCTCTGCACAACCTTTAACATGTGTAAGGAAAGACAGCCATGCTAGCTTTTAAACTAACAGAGATCACTAGATTTGCCTTAACACTGAAAGAAGCAACTACATGCAACATAAAACCTTTTATACTTGGGAGCAGGGGAAACGGGAAAGGGTGTGGAGAGGTCTGTCAATCTGAGCTTTTCTAAACGTTTGTACTACACTGAAATACGTTTTTAAAACAAGAAGCAGAATGACTGCTGAAATTTAACTCACACACACCGATCATCCAAATTAAACAAGGAAAGCTAAGGTATTACAATAGCTACTATAGCTAACCAAACTAAAATGGTTAGAAAAAGCTGTACCTCTTCTTGGAAGTCCACTTCATTGTCAGCTGTAATATTTAAACCTGAGACAGCGTTGAAGAGTTCACGCTCATTAAGTGCTTCTGCCACACCTCCTTTCTGGAAGAACTAGTCAATATAAAAAGCACACATTAAACACTTTACTTCACAGAACAAAACATTAATTTTCCTTCCCCAAGTTACAATTACAATATTTAGTCAAAATCACATTTTGGTTTTGCTGACCCACAGATAAAAATTACTGAACAAAGTTTTAAGTTCTAGAGGTATCATTTTACTCTTCTACACTTTTTTCCTTTTCAGAGAACACCACCAGCATGAACAATATGCAAAAGTAATCTTCTATGTATGTGGTGGTGGTGATAATTTTTTAATTAGTTCTGAATTGTTTTTATCTTGAAAAACATTTGGCGTAAGAGAAGATTATCAAAGAAGTCCTACCTGTGACACATTCCTACAGTCTCTGAACAAAAACTCAAGTCCATGAGGATGGGTTGGCTCCACAGACTGACTGACATCAATAAGCCAGACCTGTAGCCACGGAGAAATAGCAATTCACTTTGTATTCATAACTTCACATTAGCTGAAACCTTTCCCCCCCACACTAATAACAAACTCACCTTCCCATCGTGCCAAAGCATGTTGTATTCACTCAGATCTGCATGGACCAGGTTACACTCCTTATACAACTGCTGCATCATCTGCAAGGAACCAAATTAATGAAGGAAGTATGCTACACTTGCATGACTATAACAAAAACAAGGAACAAAAACCCCCAATGCAATTCCCTAATGCCACCTAATTTATATCACTTTTATCCAAATCTTCAACAAATTTCCACACAGGGAATCGCAGTTTTTGTAAACTACCAGCAAACTAAGCTTTTATCACTGAGTTTAGCTTTGGCAAGTCAGAACAATTAAGTCTAGTAAACTCATGTCAGCTCTGTCAACCAGTCCAAGTGCAGGAGACAGATAAACACATTCTCTAAATATACATGTCATTTTCACCCCTATCACATAGGAAAGGACTCTCACACTTGTAGATACTGAATCCTAACCTCTATTCTGTTCACTTCAAGTACAGTTGTGTTGCTCACTGGTCTCCAGATCTGAGGCCTGGACTATTCGTATTACTGAGCTGTGGGGTTGTTTGGTTGGTGGTTTTTTAATGTCTGTAATGTCAGACTGAGTGGACAGCTAGCAGGTACAAGTTTGAACCAATTACAGCAGATAATAGGAAAGTAAAGTATCCACTGTGCAATATTCTAATTTGTTCTCCAATTTCTAGATTTCCTAAACAAACAGGGTGGGAAGGAGGCAATACATTGGAGAATGCTTAAGCACTGTAAATTAAGTGTTTGGTAAGCCCAGAAAGACTTCAGAGAATTTTCTAAACCACATACTGCTTCTATAAAAGGAGGACTACTTGCTCATAATTCCTCTGCTGCTAACTGTCTGTTTGTCATCAAGTTCCAGCAAGTTTTCCACTCAGATTAAGATTAAAATCAATTATTTTCTTTTTACCGCATAATTTCTTATTGATTCTAAGTCACATATTAAACAGCAGCAAAATAAGCCTTTGGACTTTGGATCTTGAAAACGATGCAAGCATCCTGAAAAGTAAATAAATGCTGATTTGTCCTTTCAGTTATTCCCCTAAAACAAAACACAACCCACAACTGGAGGAAAAAATCAGCACTGTCTTACATTAAGAATCTGATAGTAGGCCTTTTTCATATCTTCACTACTAAGTGTTACATCCTTTAGTTTAGGAGCTGGGACTTGATCCTGACCAATGAAAGACATAACCAAGACGTGTTTCTTAAGGATAACCACTTCAGGACAAGGAATTCCTGCATTTTGCATTCTGTGGATCAGAAAATAGATAAAGATTAAGAAAAACAAAACAGTAAGACCCAAATCCCTATAGTCTAGTTTTCACTTGCTCATTTTCAATCTGAGAGAGCTGTGTGAGAAACCTGATCCAGAGTAAAAAAAACCCTAGAGAGAACTGAAAACTGAATAAATATATGTATCTCTCACAGGAAAATTCAGATCCTACAGTCATAACTGAGTCTAAAAATGCTCACTGAAAAGTAATTACTTTTACAACTAGAGCCTGTTAACTTCATGGGCTCATAAATTCTGCTGCCAAGTCACTGAAAATGCTGACAACTCATTAAACTGTAAGAAACCAGAGCCTTATTCAATCTGTGCCAGGCTGTATATTATTTGGGCCTAAAAATCAAATCTAAACTTCTACTCAGACACACAGTGTATCTTCCTTAAACAGAGAACAGGAAACTAACAGGCATTTGGCAGCTTTACCTTGTTAAGTTATGCATTTCTTTCTCAGCCCACATACGAATAATCTTGCGTGGATTCAGCTTGCTGAAGCGGTCTTTAAACCTGTAGTCATCCTTGATGTATTTGTCACGGTTCTTGAATTCATTAAGAGTCGTTTTAAACACTTTGATGGCACATTCTGGAGGAATAACTTTATCTTCAGTTGCACATCTCACGGAAAAAGTCAAATATATAACAAAGTTAACTACTCACATCTTTACAAGCAAGTGCATGGTTTTGGTTTTTTATATATTGCAAGATACAGTGATCTGTAATACAAGAGATCTGACTTTCTATCAAATTTAGAATGCAAGTTAAGGTTATAATAATTCTATGATTAAACTTATACATATACTTCATTTTTATAAAAGGAATACATATTTTTCTAAAGAAAGACATAGTGGATTTGTCCCCATTCACTAAATGGTCTCCAAGAAGGAAAGTGGGGATTATTTTACTTTACACTTGTTGCCATTTGGTTTTCAGATTTTATTATTAGCTGCCTATACATGAATACAAACTTTAAGCCTTGGGAATAAAAAAGGTGCAGGTGTTTAAATATTTCTGTGGTTTCTGCTTTTCATATCATCTCTGATATTCAAAGCTAGTCGGTAATGAACAACTTACTTTCCTCCATAGGCATGAAAAACAACAGATTCTTTTCCCGTGCTGATGCAGCCTGTGATGGTCTCCAGCATCCCAGCATTAACCATCTTGTACAGAAGTAAACGCGTTTTGGGATCCACTGCTTTCTCCTACAGGCAAGAAATGAATATGCAATTTGTTAAAATAATTCTTCGCTTTATGGTGAGGTTAGAATATTTATATACCACAAAATTCAACTAGGTGGAAAGAATAGTGTATTAAGAAAATTCTCTCAACTGACAGGGAAAAAACCCAACCAACAAACCAGAAGAAACAGATGAAGCAATGCCAATCTGGCCCAGGACTGTCATCTTAAGATTCAGGTTCCTCATCAGCTGTGTAGCACATGCAGCATTTTACCAATTCCACATACAGACTGTTGCTCAACTGCACTTTCTACTGTGTTTTTAAGAAGCCTTTGCAAATCATGAATCAAAATATCCCAAATATTATATCCCTTTGATATCAGTAACAATAAAGCAAAACACCCCAATCTGAAGAAGCTGACACCAGGAACTACCCAATGCTGTGCTCTAAACTCACCTCTAAAGCTTATCAACTGACTTCCTAAATTATTAAGTCAGAGTTTAGTCGGTCACCTCATCTCTCTGAAACTTGCTATGAAGACAGATATGCAGAGCCACATAGTTCAGCTGCAGAGGATTAGTCCCCTGGATGGTTTCTATAAATAACTTCCAGGCAGTTTATTCATTGTAGCTGATTAAGAGACAAGTTTAGAAAGACAAAGAGAAAAAAATGCAAGCTGCTGGCTCTTATTTTGATGTGTCTCTCTCCGTAATGCAGCCTTTTTCTAGCAGGAGCTGGCTGATACCACCTCCTTCAGCAATGTTAACATAATATTGCTTAACTGTTTTACTAAAACTGGAATGTTTCAAGCAGTTACCAAAGCACTGTTCGGCTATTACACAAGATAAAAGAGTATACAGAGTGACTTCATTAAAAACATACAGCAGTGGAGTGCTCCTTCTTTTCGTGGAGCCTTGCACTTCGACGTTCCTCAGAGTATGCATGTTGCTTTAAGGCATTGAAGACTTGATTTGACAGCTTTAAGTCCATCCCAATTCCATCCCCAACTTGGAATTCGGGCGCAAACTACAAGTGGAAATAATAGAAGTTTAAGCATTGTTATGAGCAGACATCAGAAGTTTGCACAAACATAAATTTTTCACTCTGATTTGGAAAATCCCAGGGTAAATTAGGACCTATGTGAAACCCACTTCCGGTTTTGCTGGCACTATGTTAAAAAAACCATATTGCTTTAAACTCAGAACTCGAAGTTCTGCACAAATTGATATGAGATTACCTAACATCCTGTAAAAATAGCACTTGCAGCATTTCCTTATTTGCAGAGGTTGCAGCAGTTACCTTAAAGAAAATGGAAGGTATGTACTACAGATAAACAGACTGAAAAGCTCTAAGTCAAACAATTGACTGAAAATAAGTTACTTGGCTCATCAGGCAAAATTAATTTAAAAAAATAGGTTACACAATAGCTAAACTTTTCAAATATAACCTTTGCCTATATACCTATGCCTTTATACCTATATACTTGCTGATAGTTTTGTTTTGCGAAAACACTTCCACACAAATTCTTGAATCATGGTCAAAACCAAACTATTATTAAACGGAAAAATCCGCACAACTCAAGCAGCCAGTTTGAATAACTGCACCAAACACTGCATTGCTTTCATCCAGTGGGGAAAAAAAACCCCCACACCCTACCCAGTAGCACTGATGGACAAGCATTAGTTCTTTGGTTGAATTGCAGCATTCCAGTTTCACACAGAAAATAAGTTTCCCTAAGTCTTCACTTACATTTTCCATGCGAGCAGTGTTCTTTCTTCCACATACCACCTCGTCGTGTTTAGTAGTAATGTCTTTTCCTTTTCCTATGAAACCCTTCCGTGGTGTGGTAGTAGGTTTATCTGCCAGAAGTGAGAAAAATAAATTAAACTTTGCATCTAAACAAGTATAACTGAAGCTCATAAAGGCTCCACAATGTTCACAAAAGTAACATGATGTTATTTCTAAACCAAAATAAATTACTTCAAATGTATGATCTTACTGCAGTCTTCCCTCATCCTAAGCATGACAGCTTATTTTGCTATGTTGTGACTTACTTCTGTCTCTTCTCTGGAGTGTCAGACACATTTTTGGCAGGTTAAAACCCAGGAATATTCAGTATCATGTGCAGATGCTCCTAGCCAAATGCAGGTGACAGACACACACATCCCACAATACTTTCCACACACAGTAGCTACTTTGCCAGATTCACCCACTGAAGCCAATATACTGGCACGCAGAGGCTTGAAGTTACCTGCCCAACCTCCTGCTGACACCTCCCAATGAGGTGACCTGATTTTACAGACAACTGGTATGTCTCCTTACATTCAAACAAGGCCCAATTTAACTATGTCATATTCTTAGGTCTATTAGCCGGAGAAATTGTATTGTTTAAAGCTGTCACATACCTGCTCTGTAAGGATCATGACGGGTATCCTGCCAGTCAACCTCATCCTCTGAGCTGTCACTGTCATAGGGATGCACCTTCCGATAATTTTCAAAGGATATGGAGACTTGAGAAACAAAACAAATAAGCATGTCTGTGATTATCAGGGATGTGCTACTTCCTCATAGCTCTGTCAGATTAAGCAGAGTGCTAAGCATACGTCCAAAAATATTCCTTCTGATGAGAGTACCTTTGCTATCTCCATTGATCTTCTTCTCTTCACGCCGAAGCTGTGCATCATATTCCCTGTCAAACTCCATCTGCAGCATCTGAGCTAGCATTAGGTCACTAGAAGTGTCAGCATTTTCTCCTGTAATAAATGGTCCTTCAGCAACACTATGTAAGATGAAAACAGAAATGAAAAAAAATTTAAGTAATTAGTTAAGTAAAAACCAGAGTAATCTAAGCGGAAACACTGCTTTATACCATTTCATCACTACACAAAAGACTTCATGCAGAGCTGCACAGAGAGTAATGGATCTCAGCTGTCTGCCTACCCTCTAAGCCAATGCTAAGTATTAATAGAGCATGACTTCATTTCTCTTTGCCACTTCTTTACGATGCAAATATACTTAAACTTTTACTTTTCTACCATTCCCTAAGCATAGGCTGTTTTTAAGATATCCTTAAAAAAGAAAGCAAGCACACAGGCATATGCCTGTGTGTGTATATATATTTTTATATATTTAAAAATAAATCAATAAAAGTAAATTAAAAAAAGCCCAAATAGTGTTGCTTTGCTCTGCTGCACAGAAAAGACTGCACTTGAAATTTGTCTGAGTTTACAACTAGTAAGCTCTTGGCCTTTGTTTAAAGCTTACAAGTAGGAGGAGGATATAGGTGATATACCTGACAGCTCTTGAAATAACACCGTACACCACTAACAGGAATCTCTAAAAGGGAAGGAAAATCCTCATAATTTCTGATATTTGCCTAAACATAGCTTACAGACTGGCTTACAGAACCCCAAAAATGTAAAGAAAACATCAAGAAAGAAAGAAAGGCAACAGAGAAGAGAATCTAAGGAAGTTTTTTAACTGGGGAAGGTATCTTCACTGAAGAAGATTTGAAGAACCAGAGTTAGAAGGTAGAGCAAAGCTACACATTAACACATTAATCACACTGTAAGAAAATGCACAAGAGAGAGAAGATGGTGTCACAACTACAGAGATCACTAATCCAGGACTTGAACTTACGCAACCACTTCAGGAAAAGCAGCATTTTCTTCTTCCAGCTGCAGTTCTTTTGCCAGTTGTTCACTCATTACATCAGCAAGGGAACATGATATTGATGTTGTGTTAGGGGCTCCCCATGGACACTGTAAATAAACATTTCATTCAAGTCAGCAAGACTAGTGAGTGCAGTGGCAAAACAATAATCAGGACGATTAGTTATCACTGGCTCCCAAATAAGCTCATATAATCTCATAAGAGCTTGTCTTCTACAGGTACTTAGGGAACTATGGTGAACTACTGAAGTAGTTTAGTAAACTCGGTAGGGAGAACCGGCACTGCAACTAATGGGTGGAAAAAGGAGTCAGTTTGTCAGTGTCAGTGCCCTCTGAAGATGGGGTAAAGACGGTGTGAAGACAAGGATGAAGACAGGGGTAAAGACTAAGTTTGTTTACAAGTGTACACACAACCCATGTAAAACTTCTCTTGGAATAACACAACAGTAATGGCTCATGCACAGCTTCCTCCCCCGCGTTCCGAGCGCCGAACGCACAGCCACCGCAAACATGCCCCGGAACACAGGGCACACACAGAGACTCGCTGGGGGAGGAGGGGCCGGGAATGACGGACCGGCCACGCCGTGACTCACTGCCCTGATAACTAAACTCGCTTAGCTCCAATGCCCTCCAACCAACAGAGCCCGGAGAGAAGCAACTCCCTTA